GCTCGAGCCCGGTCGCGGCCTGGGTCCAGGGCGGCCGCACGACGATCGCCTCGTGATTGACGATCATGTAGCCCAGGCTGACCAGCGACAGCCCGATCCACCCGGCATCGGCCGCCGTGCCCAGCTTGCCGCGCCGCAGCCTGTAGAGCAGGAAGCCGATCACCAGCGCGAAGAGCAGATGCGCGGCCCGCAGCAGCAGGTTCGGCATCAGCACGAACGGCGAGGCGGCGACGAGGTGGAAGACGGCCATCGCCACGGCGAGCGCGCCGACGACCCTGTCGGGAAGATCCCGCAGCGGCTGTTCTGTCATGTCGACGATCCAGACTGGTGCCGGAAAGCGGGCCTGCCGTGACCGGCCACCCCGCGACGCGGGCCCGCCGGTCACGATCCGCCCCAGGCCTTATTCGGAGAGCTTGCCTTGCGAATAGGCGATGCCCTGCGCTTCGAAGAACTTCTTCGCCCCGGGGTGGAGCGGCACCACCATGCCCTTGCCCACCGTGTCCTCGCTCATGAAGTTGAGCAGGTCGTGGGTCCGCTTGAACTGCGCGAGGTTGGTCCAGATCGTCTCGACGATGCGGTAGGCCGTCTCCTCGGGCATGTCCTTCGAGGCGAAGAGGAAAGTCTTGGTGCCGACCGTGGTCGCCGGCTCCTCCTGACCGCCGTAGAGCCCCGCCGGCAGCTCCACCTGCTCGAAGCCGCCGCCGTACTGCTCGAGATAGGCCGCCAGCTTGTCGTCGTCGAAGGAGAGGGTGCGCATCGGCCGCGCGGTCTCGTTCTCCAGCACCGTCGGGTGCGGGTAGAGCGAGACCCACATCACGGCGTCGAGCTGGCCGTTGCGCAGGCCCTTGTGCGATTCCGACCAGCTCAGCTTGTGGAGCTGGCCGCCGTCGGCCTCGATGTCCTCGATCGACATGTCGTGCACGGCGAGCAGGTGCTCGAAGGCCAGCCAGGAGGTCTGGCCCGGCTGCCCGGCGCTCATCTGCTTGCCCTTCAGATCCTCCAGCGCGCGGATCTCGGAGTTGGCATCGACCCAGATCTGAATCGCGCTCGGGAAGAAGGTCATCAGCCCGCGGACATCGCGCACGGGATTGTCCGGCGTCGCCGGATCGCGGCCCTGCCAGGCGTCCCAGGCATTGTTGGCCGAGGTGATGCCGAGGTCGGCCTGGCCGTTGTTCACGCGCAGCAGATTCGGCCCGGAGCCGCCGGGCTGGACGTCGACCAGCGTCTCCGGGAACTCGCGGCGCAAGAGGTCGCCCAGGCCGGTGGCGACCACGTTGAAGGTGCCGCCCGACGGCCCGCCGCCGATGGTGAGGAACTCGGGCGCGTCGGTCTGCGCGGCGGCGAAGCCGGCGGGGGCGAGGCAAACCGCGGCCAGCGCGCCGGCGGCGAACCCGAGTCGCCGCCAAGTGTGGGGACGAAG